TTCCTAAACAAAATTTGCTCTCCGTTGGCAAGAAGAGCTCTTTAACCGTTATTAACATGGTAGCGGAGAGAGTCCACTGAGGTTAGGAAAAACTCATTTCATATAACGAATAATTTAGATCTCTCAATTTTTACTTACCGAAAACACTCTTACGTGGACAGCAAGACAATAACATAACCTGGAAACATACATGTAAACATATGCACATACATACAGTTGTTCTAACATAAAATTGATGGAAAATGTATAAAAATAAATAAAAACAAAAAAGTGAATAACCCGAAGATTAATCTAAACGCAGCGTTAATTTTATTTTATGGCTCAGTTGTGTCATAACTGTTCTGTCGGTCGGTTGATTCCATCGCTTTTAGAAGAAGCAGTAAACGAAAGAAAAGCAATAAATAATAAAATATTAGCTACGCTCTTTACCGTAAAAAATACATATGTACATATATATGTACATGCATATGTGTACGTGTGCGCGTACCTAAACCTTTCCGCAGTGAGTATTGAGTAAAGAGCTGACGATTGACACGAACCCATCAACAGTGGCGGCGGCGATGTCAACAACGATGACGACTCTGCGTCTAAACGTGTTCGAAAGTGCCACAACAATGCATAGCCAAGCACAGTGGAGACACAGAAACATACACATACGTACACACATACAAACCACATAGGCAGACAGACAAACTGTGCGCTGTGGCAATTGTTATGATAGCAAACCGCTTGACCCGAGTCGTTGTCGCGCAGCCCCGGCCATCGTTCTCAGCTGCTTTTTATACTTCAACAGAATACTAAATGTTGACATTGTCATTCCGTTCACACCACAAGCTCAGCGAGACTCAGGACTCTTTTGCAATTCAATGCGACTGAATTAAATTCTAAAAAAATAAACAAGAAAAATACAAAAAAAAAAAAGAAAAAAAAACAAATAAAAAATAGACAAAATTGTATAAATGCGTGCAAAAAATAATACCGTTAGAGCGTAATGGTTGTGAATTATTATGTATGTTTTTTGTTGTTCTTTCTCCATTTGAGTTTGGTTTTTTATCGCCTGCAGCAACTTTTGTGGTCTAATATCGGTAATAAATGAAAAGTAGAAGTGTCGGGCTCTTTATGTTATAACCTTGTTTTGATCCTGCATTAAGATGTTTGTATATATGTGTGTAGGTATTTATATACGCGTAGATACATACATATATTGGACACGACGTCGTGTATTGTTAAAAGCATTTGACGCTTAAGGAGCTTTTAGTTTTTTCCTCACAATTTTTCTATGGAAAGATGATGCTCAATTCTTGCAAAACGAAAAAAAAACTCCCACTGAGGGCGAAAAATTAATGGAAAATTATTATTTTGCTACAGGAAAAACAGGTGAAATATATTATATAATACAAAAAAGTATGAAAACACTACATACATTAGTGAAGACATATCAAGTGTATCCAATTCCCACCCAATCGACCGAGGGGCGGGCGCGTCTGAATGGCAAATGGAATATCCAACGGACCGGTGACCAAAAACCGCACCGTCCTTTTGAGTTGTCATGTTGATGTGGTTGCTGCGCTGTTATTCTCACCTGCTCAGATGTACCAACGATTTCGTGTGCTTTACGAATGATGCGATACTGTCTATACTAGTCAGTGGCAGTGGTAGCGTTCGACAGACTCTTCATCTTCTCGGTCTCTTCAGCTTCGATAAAAATCATTCGAAAAAAAATCCCATTCTCCTACCGCAAAGTCCCATTACACAGTGTCCAGTTTGCATACCAGTTATTGTATTGATGGTAAACCGAGCTGGGAGGATTAGATTCCTAGATCTTTTCGCATTCACAGTACAGCAGCACAGGCCAGAGCTGACTAGTCACGTTATAAGTTCTTTCGTTAAGCCATCTGGTGTTTTCTATTTTGGGAAAACCCAGCTTAGGTTTGAGATTTGCCATAGGCAGAGGTATTCCAGCGATGTGCGTACAATTTAATGTAGTTGGCGGGCCACCCTAATCCAAGGCATTTGTATTTTCCATTCAATCCAGTCTGAGATTTTTATGGCGATGAGATTGACAAAAGTGGAAGTAGGCAGTAGCAGAGGCTCCCTGATGTAGGTTCCCCAAGCAATTGCAGACGTTGAAACAGATTGCACAGGTTTAGGGTTTGGCGCAAAGCACCCTTTTGGTGAGTTAACCTTTTCCTAACGGAAGGAAGGAGTACAACGCAGAGGCGTAAAAGAGTAATTTGTGGAAGGATGGGATACCTCAGCGCAAGCTAATTAATGGTCTTCCTCTGGCAGAGGTTATGTCACCGTATGGAAGCTGTTTCAAGCCTCATCATACTTTGTATCTAAATTTGATTCCACGAAAAGAAAGAGGGGTTAAGCTCCTACGAAATCTGTTCAAAGGGTGTAATGAATTTTGAGTTTCTACTTAGTCTTTTCTAAGTAAAAATAGCAGACTCAATCCGATGTACTACCAACAGCGCCGCCTGAGGGTCTTAACTAGGGAAAAATATGTAAGACCGTGGACCGTCTGATGTGTTCCCAACACTAAAGAGGAAAACGTGATGACTTTTTTATTATCAAGTTTTTTTTTTTGCTAACAAATTTTTCTTCCCTTTACGAGACGTAATAAAACCGTTCTTATCGTTAAATCCCACAATGGGCCTTTCACAAACGTGAATTGAACTGTTCACTAAACTCTTCTCTCAATTGGCCTTTCATTCACATTATGCTCGGCAGGTGACACAATCTTCTCGGAACCACATATCAACCACATGCGATTCACAGTTCTGGGCTTTATCGCCTTCTGGCTGGCGTCTGGCTTCCATTATATGCCAATTTTTCTTGTTCGCGTATACACTCAATCCCAAAAGAGCTTCGTTGCAGAACACAATTTTTCGATAAAAAAAAGTGAATTTTGATTTAACTTCAAATCCACCCTCACAAATTTCTACCTAGTGGAGTAATAAAGACTGAATTGCGGGGAACATTGTAGAATCTATAATCCACGGTCTTCACTATCGCCGACGGACAAAGCTGCACTGTTTTCCGCTGTTGGGCTCTTTTCGCCATAGAAGGCCAACCGAACGAACCGAACCATGTAATAGAAAGAGTGCACTTTCTTAATCGAGCAAGAATTTATGCACTATATGGGGTCTCGTAAAAAATAATCCATTATTTTTCTGATTTATGTCAAATATACTTCCTTTTTCTCGATAACTTTTCGCCTTTTGGAAGGTAAGATCATTATGCCTCTCTTCTACAAAACCACTGTCCCTATTGGAGCATTCAATTCTCAGTGGCTGCTTCTGAGGTCAATTCTTCAAAAGCCAAATATTTCCCCATACACAAAAATATTTGGTTCGTTGTCCGGACCGGAACCTCTCAACCAAGCCCTTGGAGCTTCTGGGGAGTCACTATCGATGCGTGTGGTCTGACGTTGTCCTGATGGAACAAAATTCCCCACCTGTTGGCTAAAACTGGGTGCTTTTGGTCGATAGTTTTCTTCAGATACTTTGATTGCTGATAACACAGGTTGTAGGGGAACAGAACTCGCTAAAAACACAACAAAACTTTCCTGGTTTCTAGACTGTTTGTGTCCGCTCACTGCTCTCCCCCCTTTTCATTTCCAGTCACCATCCGCTTCAGAAATGGATCGATTTTGTTACTCTTTATCAGCGCTTCGTAGATGGAAATTCGGTCCATGTTATTTTGATATTCAATATCAGCCCTTCCATAACTGTATTCATTTTACATATGAAATTTACCATCGCCAAATCGCTGTGTGCCCTCAATAGCTTCACAAATTTCATCTTTGAGGTCTTGAATCGATGTTGGCTTGTTGACGTAGACCTTTTTTTTTACATGGGCCCCGAAGGAACAAGTTGCAAGGTATGACTTCAAGAAATCTTAGTAGCCGATTGCGATCACGTCTTTAAGCGAATACACGGTCCGGAAAGCTTTCTCCTGAATGATCGATGGCCATAAAAAATTTTTAACCATCTCTCGGTAGCGCAATCCGTACATTTTCGAAAAAAGTATTGTCCAATGACCCTATCGGACCATCAACTGCACCAAACACAAACACTCTGAGGTGGAGAGGTTTTTTTTTAGCAGTCAATGTTGAGCTTTTCGAGCCCTCAGATGGGACAGTTTTTCTTATTGGCGTAACCATCGGGTCAGAAATGAGCCTCAAAAGTCGAGGTGATTGCAATTCGGATCATTTTCATGGTATTCAAGGACCCAATCAGCCAAGACTCGACGTTGTCGATGACAGGGCGGGTTGAGTTCTTGCCTTAACCGAACTTTACAAGCCTGCAGACCCGTGTCTCTATGCAAATTATGGTGTAATAACGTTTGTGGAATGCCCAACTCCAAAGAACGACGAGGAGTGGACAAACTCGGTTTTCTTCAACAATTTCGGACTACAGCAAAAACATGCTCAGTTGTTCTTGAGCGATGTGCATGTGATTTATTCTTCACATTACTAACTTGTCCCGACAGCTCCATTTTTATTCACCAATTTTTCTGGCAATGCATTGTTGGAGCGTGGAGGGGTTGATAATCCCTGCCGAGGGGTCGAACCAGGACTAGAACCCTGACCTTCCGAATGTCATTACGCAATGTTAACCATTCGTCTCAAGTTGTCTCAAGTCCGCAGCACTGATCACATCCAAATTGTGCTTTGAAAATAAAATTATTTATGTATTTAGTTCTTGAAGACTGAAATAAAATACAGCACTTTTCCTACCTTTCTGCGGCTTTGCCTTTGAAGATTTATGTTGGAAGTTGGCGAGCAAAACAGAGCCATAAATGCCACACAATTACTGAATACCTACACTTTAGTACCGGAAAACAATTTTTTATTTCCGACATAAATTCTAAATACTTTTAATCAGCAGTAGCAACAACATAACACATAACAACAAACATAATTTAACGCCTCCTGCCCTGTTTGAAAACATTCGCTCACCTTTTCTTTTCTCTCTTCTTTATTATTGTTTCAGATAAATGAAGGATTCTAATAACAGAGCACAACCTCAAGGATATCAACGTAAGACGAACAAAAGCCGAATAGGCTAAGTAAAGGATGCCGGTGGTGGTAGTGTTATTGTTGTTGTTAAAGTAATAGCTCACCATCAACAATAAGAAGTATTTATGTAATAAATATAAATCATTTACGGCATTTAGCGTGTCAAAAGAGAAAGAGAGAGAGAGAAAAAAAAGAAGAGTTAGAAAAGGTGAGTGGAATAAAAAAGCAACAAAAGTGAGTAAGAGGAGTTGCAGCAGAAATAAAAAAGAAATAAAAAAGAAATCAAATAAAAATAAGATAAATTAAAAAAAAAAAGCTCGTCAAGCTAAACTCAGCACGCGCCGTGTCTTGCAGACGTCATGTAAAAGTGTTAAAGGCGCAAGAGCGGAGGTGAGTGAGTCAGTGAAAAAAGTAAAAAATTTTACAATTTTTTTTTACGTGAAAAAAGACGCGCTGAGTAAGTCAGCCAAGTCAGTGCAAGTGGGATTGCAAGTGCAAAAGTACTGACTGTTTTCACCACTTATTCGTTTGTAGAGGCGTAGCAAATTATTCACAGCACACACGAGAGAGGGAGAGAGTGTAAGAAGCAGGTGAAGAAGCCACAACTACTACATTTGGTACAAGCCAAGTGTTGAGGGAACCAACATACATACATACGAGCACCTACTCAACTAGCGGCGCAAGTGTAAGTAGGTCTTTGGCAGTTGCCTGTTGTACCCACAGCCATACATACATATGCACATACTCCTTCCGAGTGCTTGGCTGGCTCTCTGTAGACGGATTGTTGCACAGTAATTTTCTTAGCCACCTGCTCTTTTACATACCCTTCATACAACCTTCAGGTCGCTCGGCGACCACATACTACGTGCAATTGCAACCAACAATATTTGTATGCTTGTGGTTGCATGTGTGCGTGTGTGCGGGTGTGTGTGTGTGAGTGTAATTTTTTCTCATTCCTTCTTTGCGTCGCATTTGGCATACAAATGAAGAAATATGAGTGCGCGTTTTTAAGCTTAAAATGTTGTTGAAGAGCATAGAAGGAGCCAGCAACAATTACAACAACAAAATTGCATGAAAATACAGTGACTACAAAAACAAAAAAAAAACAACCAACCACAAACAGCATGAACCGTGTTTGAATTGACATAGTGGGTGCTAACAGAACACTAAAATCAAGCATTACAACAACAACAACAACATAAAATTATACTACCAACGACGCGCATAAGGAAAGTCCATTCGAGCGCCATAAAGACAGCACCAACCAGACTTTTTCACCCTCGCAACCCAGTCATCAGTGAGATGTCGTTAGCTGACTCCTTGTGAGGATATCAACTGCTCTTCGCACACCGTGACTTATCCCAAGTCGTTTCGAGACTCTCACCATCGGCAGCACCATAATCATCATTATCCCGGGCTCCTCGTACTTGCCACTGCATCCGGTTAAGATTCATATACACACATACATATTCCACTCACTGCAGGAGGCCAGTTGCCCAGGCGCTGATGTTGCAATATTAGAGCTATAAGTGAACGTTGAAATCAAATCCCGTATAGCTTTAAATGAAATATTAATATCTGCCATCATTCGTTGGGCCAAGTTCGTGTGTGTGTGTGTGTCGGCGTGTGCGAGCAAAGTGACTTTTCCGCCAGGCAAAGCAACTTGACTGCAATATAAATATTATATAATATTCGATGTAATAAATGGTGGAAACATACTACATATATACTCATATATACATACAGACAAACATACTCTGCGACGACAACAACAAATATTTAAACGCACAATCGCAAAAAAAAAGTAAAAAAGGCAAAAAAACTGAACTAAAAACACGAAACGCTAACATTTCAAAGGGCAAAGGCAAAAAAGCAAAAGGCAAACTCAAAAAAAAAAACTGCAGAAAAACAAAAAAAAAAACATAAAAAAGTTACGCCCAACACTTCTCAACTCAACGAGTAGTTCAGCGTAGAGAAGAGATTTGCAGCATTTTCAACGCTTTTTCGCTGCACTTCAAATTCATAACTTTGTAAATATAAACATATATATATATATATATACATATATAAATAAATATAAGTGTGAATATACACACATAGCCCCGTTTTGTAACATATCCGTCGTCGGTTAGCTTAAAAAAAAAGTGCAAGTTTTGTTTGCTTTCTAAGCTGCATATGTATATGTGTGTGCGTGTATAGCTCGGAAGCAAGTCAACGTTCCTGTGCCTGTTATTTACTATACACGTATTCTTATAATAATTGTAGTGCTCTGTGTGTGTTGCTGCAACTTTGTCGTTCTCTTCACGAGTGTGTGCGTGTGTACGCTTTCTTCGCCCGTTAAGGAGCAGAATTTTCTCAACAAAATGCGTTTGCAATATCGCAATAAAAAAGCCACGCTATGGCTAATGCTGGCCATTGTCGTCCTCACTATGTTCCTCTTCAAATTCACCGAATTCGCGCCAACGTGTTTCTTCAAGAACGACATAACGTCAGCGGATGGATCGATGATGGTGCGCGAAGAGGTAAGTGGAAGATGAAAGTTATTAAAATCGCAGCATTATTTTAAGATTTTTTTTTACTTCTTTCTATTATTTCCTTTATTTTATTTAATATTATTAATTTTTATAATATTTTAAATTTTAATTTATTTTATTTTATTCTATTTTATTTTAAAATTTGCGTTTTTTTGGATTTAATTTAATTTAATTCTATTTTTAAAATTATTCTATATTATATTATTTTATTTTACTTTATTTTAATTTATCATATTTTTTATTTTATTTTCTTTTATTTTAATTGATTTTGTTTCATTTAATTTATTTTAATTGATTTTATTTCATTTATTTTATTTTATATAATTTTATTTTATGTTATTTTATTTTATTTTATTTTATTTTATTTCATTCGATATTATTTAATTTATTTTGATTTAATTTAATTTTATTTTAATTTATTTTATATTATTTTATTTTATATTATTTTATTTTATTTTATTTTTTTTTATTTTATTTTATTTTATTTTATTTTATTTTATTTTATTTTATTTTATTTTATTTTATTTTATTTTATTTTATTTTATTTTATTTTATTTAAATTGATTTTATTTCATTCGTTTTATTTTATTTTACTTTATTTTAATTGATTTTATTTCATTTTATAATATTTTATTTTATTTTTTTTTGTTTAATGTTATTTTATTTTTCTACTTCATTTTATTTAAATTTATTATTTTGAATTTAATTTAATTTTATTTCAGTTCATTTTATTTTATTTAATCATATATTATTTTATTGATATCATATAATTTAATTTTTTAATTTATTTTTTTGATTTTATTTTTTTTTTTAATTTTATTTTTTTTTTTTTTATTTTATTAATGTATTTATAGTAATATTTGTTAATATTATTAATAATTAATTTAATTATTTATGATTTTATTGTTACTTATTTGCTTGTTATGATTTTTAATATATTTATTTTTGGTTTTATAATTTGATTTAAAAGAGAGTATCGTACTGAATTATATGGACTCGAGCAATGAGGATGTCTTCACCTTTGAAATGTCCGCGCAGAATTATTGCTTTTCATTAATTATTAAAATTTACTATAAAAATTTCATCAAAAAATTATCTTGACTAATGATTGCTGATGATGTCATTCCGAAGATTTAATAACTTTCCCTCGATTTTTGATATTGAGTTGTGCTTTTACATGAATAATAAAGTCACGTATACGCACCGTTGTACTTGCAGTAATATTGTTGTGGCGAAAAATGTTTTGTAGCTACGATTGTATAATACAAAACTTCAAATCTGAACAAATCGGTTGCATATATGCACGCAATTCAATAGTGGTCCGATCTTTGTCGTAACGAAGCTTTATCGTTAAAATGTCTACATCTGAGTTACTCTTCTGGTGCTGACTAAATTTTATATATCATTTTAGGTACATGAAAATGTCGCACCGTTTCTTTTTTATCGGTTTTTTGTGTTTGTAAGTCTTCGAAATTTTCTCCGCTGGGCGCTCACAGGTTACGAGCTAAACTATCACTACCCTTTCCGTATACTCACTAGATTCAAGGCATGTGAAGTCAACAAGCAGTGTGCTGTTAGCAACCCTTCTGGGAGCCTGAAGACCGGACGAAATTCTCGCTTGCAGAAACTTAGTGGCGCCTGTTAGCTTTGATGATCTAAAAGTATTTTTTACTTCAACATTACATTAATGGGATTGGTAAGTCCAAGGCTACTTACTGTTTCAAGAGTACACCCTCTTTAGCCAGTTTCCCTCGATGCCAATAAGTCGTGGTGGAGTTTCTTTATCTCCGTCACTGCTGACTTTCTCCTTTTACGAGGGCTTTCCCACTGCTGCCGTTATTATTCCAAGTATCTCAGCTTCGAATATACTGCAGTGATCAGGTAGCTTGAATGCTCATCTTAATTCTGTTTGCGCGCAGTCTCCACTCCTCCGTTCATTGTTGAACCATCTGTAAAGATATTTTAGCCGTCGTCTTCGGAGGTTTTTCGAAAGTCAAGACTTTCAACTAATTTATGGCGTATAGTCGTCAGGCAATTATATTGTAAATAGCTTTAAAAAGTAAGAAAACATAAATAATTTGTAATAATAACTGCTTGTACCCTAACTAATTTTTAAAATGTAAAGGTGCTCCTGAACTAAATTAAGAACCGAAACAGCAAATGTTTCATCAGAGCAGCACAGAGCTTGGCTCTACAAAAGTCTACTCTTACCATTTGGCTTAAGTGCAGACACTTGCGGTCAGGTCCTCAACCACTCTTTTTTTTATTTTTGTTATAAAAGTATTTTTGTGCAAAAACTTTAAATAGAGAAACTCATAAAAAAGCAAGCTGCATATACATAACTACACGTCTATACGCTACCCCTATATTTTAGTAGTTTTTTTCTTCGATTCCATAAAAGCGCGCATAATAATGAAATGAAAAACCGAGTTTGTTAAAAATGTTGCGAAATATTTATTAACTTCAATACATCTGTAGTTGGCAGTTAAGGCGAAAAAAAAGTTATGCTGCACTTGTTAGCTAGCAAAGTCTGAAAAAATTCTGTTGAATCGGGGAAAAACAGAATAGGTATTAAAATATTTATTGTTATCAAAAAATATGTATATAACTGCGCTACATGCATAATAGATAGCGTTGGCAATATTTGCTGTTAAATTTTTTTCAACACTTCTGACTCTTTGTTGCCAGAGAACATTGTTAAATGCTTGTATTAATTGCTTTAACAGTTGTAGTTTCAGTGTCGTAAGCAATTAGCAGGAAAAAACTACTACAGCGGAAATATAGCAAAATAATACATAGCAGATATAATAAATATATTTAAAAAACTAAAGTAGATTTTTAAATTAATGTGCAGATTTATATAATAAATTATTTCGAAATTTTAATTTCATTATTATTATTGCTCTATTTATTTTTAGTTTATTTAATTCTTATTATTTTATTTTTTTTACATTTTATCCTTAAGTATTTATTTATTTTAAATAATTTCACTCGTTTTTAAATATTTATTTCACCTAATTTAACTTATTTAATTTAATTTTATTTTATCTCTTTACTGTTTTATTTTTTGTTTTCTTTATATTCTTTAATTTAAACTTTATCTATAATTTTTTTATTGTATCATTTTTAATTAATAAATTATTTTTATTTTAACTATATTATTTTATTTAAAATTTTTAATTTTATTATTGTTTTATTTAATTTTTTTTATTTTTTTTTATTTTTTTTATTTTTTTTGTTTTTTTTTCATTTCATTTAAATTTGTATTTTTCTCTATTATTTTTTTTTTATTTTAAATTTCAATATCCTGTAGTTAAATTTTTTTATTGTTTATTCTTTAAATTTATTTCTTTTTTTCATTTGACTATTGGTTTTATTATTTAATTTTGAATTTTACTTTATTTTTAAAATGCTTTTAATTGATTTTTAATTGTATTGCTTTAACTTTTATTATTTCGCTTTTTTATTCTATTTTTGTTTTATTAATAATTTAATTAAATAATTAATAATTTATATTATTTATTTTCTTATATTTCTTTATTTTACTTATATGAGTTTATTTAATTTATTTTACTTTCTATTATTTTAACTTTTATTTTTGATTTTCCCCCTTAATTTATTTAGTGTTTTATGTTTTCATATAAATTATATTTTTTCATATAAATTATTGTTGAGTTTTAAATTGTATTATATTTTTATTTATTTATTGTATTTCATTTTAAATTGTTTTTTATTTATATTTATTTCAATCTAGTTCGGTTTATATATATTTTTTATTTTATTTTAGTTATTAGCTCCTTTAAATGTTTTATTAAACTTTCAGATTTTATTATCTTAATTGTTCATTTCATTAATTTTATTTATTTTTTATTTATTTGATAGTTTAAGTATATATTTTTTTTTATTTAGCTTTCTTATAATTTCATATTTTTGCTGTATTTATTTTAATTATTTTATTTTATTTCAACTTATAATTGTGTATTGTGTATGTAAAAAAATTCTTTATAATCATTATTCAGCGATTAAAAAGTTTTTAATTGTCAAATTTAACAAATCGCTCAGAAAGTAATTTTTATTTATTTTATATTTTCGATCAAAATTATATATGTGGGCTTTGAACTTTCTTATCAGAAAAAAATCATTATCCTTGATATTAAAGGTTTCTTGATCAAAAATAGAATTTTCGTCCTGATTTTTATTTATTTATTATTTTATTTTCCATTTGATTTAATTTAATTCAAGGCATAGTTTAATTAATTAATTAATTACTTTACTATTTAATTTTATTTTTTTTCTTTTTTTGTCTATATATGTATATTTATTATTTCACTTTATACGCATTATATTTCATGTAATATAATAATTTTCGCTTATTTTTATATAATATTATTTATTTAACTTTATTTATTCATGTACTTTTTTATTATTATTTTATTTTAATCTTTATTCGATTTTGTTTATTCAATTAAACTTAACTTTTATGGATAAATTTTATTTTAGTATACTTTATTTTGTTTATTTAAGTTATATTTTTATTTGTTAATATTTTTTATTTCATTTTAGTTTATACATTATTTAATTGTTTGCTTTTATATTTATTTTTTATTTGTTGTATTTCTATTTTTCTATTTAGTTTATTTGTTTAATTAATTTTCAGTATTTTTCTATATATTATATTATACTTTTATTTAAATATAATTTGATTTGTTATTTCAAGTCAATATATTTTATTTCTTTTCATTTTTGTTTTATTTTACTTTAATTAAGTAATTTAATGTATTTTTTTTCTTTTTTTATTTTTGCTTTACTATTTTGTGTTTATTTTAATTGGATTCATATAATTTTAACTTAAATTATTTGTTTTAAATTTTTTTATTTATTTTTTTTTTATTTTTTTCATTTTTTTCATTTATTGTTTTTTATTTTTATTTTATTTTATTTTTTTTATTATATAATATTTATGTCAATAAAAAATTATTTTATTTAATTTATTCTAATATTTTTGTATTTATATTACAATATAATTAATTTTTTTTAATTTTAGTTTAATTTAGTATTTTACTTTATATTAGGCTTTCAATTTCTTTTTATTTAATTTTATTATTATTTTTTTTATAAAAATTTAAATGTCGAATTTTTTTATTTTACTTTATTGATGTGATTCATATTTTCTTCTAATTCTCCTACAGAAATACGTAATGGATGAAGAGCAAAAAACCTACTCATATGGCCGAGAAATGCCGTTAATATTTATTGGCGGTGTGCCCAGATCGGGGACGACGCTGATGCGCGCAATGTTGGATGCACATCCGGATGTGAGGTGAGCGAATTCAAATCACTTGTTAATAATTGTGCATGTATGCATACGTACGAGTATGTATATGTGCAGTAGGGCAAATAAGTCAAGTGGTTGTGGTGTGCATACATTCTACATATACATATTGTACATATACATATGTATGTATATACATTTATTTGTTTACATATTGTAATAACATTGTTGACATGCAAAACAAATTGAGGTGTGTGTACAGCGTTTGAAAAATATCTAAGTGCACTTAAATATATGTACATATGTATGTGCATTGCCATTTGTGTAAAGGCACTTTTACATATTTATATATGTAAAAATATGTACTTTTGTATTGTACGTACATATGTAAATATATGTACGTCCATTTGCCTTTGAACAAATTTAATCGATATGGTTCCATAGGTGCGCGATAAGCTTCAGTCGACCGACAAATGGAAATCGCATGTACATACATATGTACAAACAAGTGTTTTTTTGCCATTACACCCATGAGGCTCTGTTTTCTATTCTCCATATTTATTTATTTATTTTTAATAAACAGCTGCATAATACATATGTATTTACGATGCAGAAATACATATTTGCTGTAACTAAAAATAACCAGGAACACTAACTTAAAAATTGAAATCGCTTACCTAAATTATTGTTTGTTTATCGAACAAAGGTGAGTGCTGAGTCAACTCAGGAAATCAGGAAAAGAAAAGTTCATCCTTAACATATGCTACAGTAAATTCTTAGTTGAAAAGAGAGACATTTAAATAATTGAAAACGTTGCCTACAATTAGGCTGTTGAATCACTTAGGTCCATACTCCCCTAAAAAGTAAGATTACATTTATATGCATTTCCATATATTTTTTTAAATAATAAAATCTAATCTTATATAATAATTTACTCAAATCGTTTTTTTTTGCCTGCATTTAATGTGTTTGCCAGTGTACGTGAGCGTGGAGCTTGTGTATGTACTGTTTGTCTGCCTTATTTTAAGTTCTCCTGCCAAACAGTTCAGCTGCCAATGCAAATTACTTTCCCATCAGCATTTTTATGCCTCAATTTCATACTTATGCGCCCTCCATCCTCTACATCAAGCTATATATTCTTTGAATTCTGCCGCATCAGCGATTTCTATGCGTTAATTCAACCCCATTTGCCGGGTTTGGCGCCTGACTCTTGGCTTTCCATATTAAATATCAATTTGCGCACGTGTTACTTTGTGGTTAAAATGCTTTTGCAGATATGAGATAATCAAATTCTACTTAGTGATTATCAACAGTATGTTTTTTTCAATAATTTATTTTTTTCATGTTTCGTGTTAGAGATTTTTTGCTGATTTAATTACTTTTTACGATGCGAAATACTTTGGCGATGCTTCTGAGGCGGAATTAAAATTAAATAATTAAATTTCAGAGAAACATAGAAATTTAGTAAAATTGAATATTGAAAAGATGAATATTTATATTAAAAAATAAATTAAATTAAAGTGATTAAAAAATAAGACAAAATAACAGAGTAAAGTAAGTAAAAAAATGAAATAATATTAATAAAAGCATAAATAAAATAAGTAAAAATACAAAATTCAATAAGTAGAAAAATAAAATAAGTAAAAGAAAATAAAATAAAATGATTGAAAAATTAAAAATAGAGTAAAATATGTTAAAAAAAATTAAATTAAAAGTAAAATATAAAATACAATAAGGAAACTTAAAAATAAATAAAAGGTAAAAAATAAAATAAAATAAGTAAAAAATAAAATAAACCAAAGAAAAATAAAATAAAATCAGTTAAACAATAAAATAAAATAATAAAAAATAAAATAAAATCAGTTAAACAATAAAATAAAGTAATTAAAAAAATAAAATAAAACAACTAGAAAAATAAAAAGAGTAAAAATTAAAAAAAAATTAAATAAGTAAATTAATGGAATAAAATATGTAAAAAAAAATCAAATAAATAAAAAAATTAAAAAAAAAGTAAAAACATAAAATAAAATAAGTAAAAAAATAAAAAAAATCTATATTTTATTATACTTCTTTTTTTATTTCATTTGGTTTTATTTTGAATTATTAATTTTATTTCATTTCAGTGTAATTTATTCGTATCATTATATCTTATTTTGTTTTATTTTATTTTATTTTATTTTATTTTATTTTATTTTATTTTATTTTATTTTATTTTATTTTATTTTATTTTATTTTATTGTTTTTTATAACTTAGAACCCAGTTTATTTCATTTCTTTTCATTTTAATTTATTCTTCTTTTTATTTATTTAACTTATTGTTGCCATAAGTAATTAATATATTTTTTATTTTATTTTATTTTATTTTATTTTATTTTATTTTATTTTATTTTATTTTATATTATTTTAGTTTTTTATTTCACTTTAAGTTAATTAATTTTATCTTGATTTAAATTGTTGTTTTTCATTCTATTATTTTTTTATATTTTTTCTTTTATTTAGGTTTTCTTATTTTTTTATTTATTATTTATTTTATTTATGTTTTCCTATTTTTTTATTTATTATTTATTTGATTTTATCTCATTCTTTTTGACTTTTCTTTATTTTGCTGTTGTTTTTATTATTTTTTTTTGTAATTTTTTTTTTATTATTTTTTTTTATATATATTTTTTTTATATATTTTTTTTTATATTTTTTTTTTATTTTTTATTTATTTTATCTTTGCCTTCATTTGAAAAAAAAAAAATCTTTTTTTAATATTTTCGAGGGCACTTGGTACATACAGGGTGCTCCATCTTTTCTATCAGTATTCAAACGCTGAATAATTTTCAAATTTACCAACCGAGCGATTGCCTCAGATATGTTTGGGAAACGTCAATTTAGTACAATTTTTCCATGGATCGCTTCACACCAAAACAACGTGCTGAAATTGTGACATTTACATCGAAAATATCGAATATCGGAAATAATATCGCGGCAAAAAGGCACCCATCTGACAGATCACCTGATTTAATCCCCCCGGACTTCTTTTTGTGGGTTATCTGAGAAGCAAGGTTTACGCCAACCAGCCTCAAACTATTGACGAGCTCAAGGCAAAAATTCGTGCTGAAATCGACGCAGTAGCAGCTGAGAAAAAGCAGTCAATTTGTAATTGCTAATAAAGGTAGCACCCTGATTGATAGTGTTTTCAAAATAAATTTAAAAAAAATTAAAAAAAAAAATTAAAAAAAATTAAAAAAAAAAATTGTAGGGAACCAAACTGAATAAAAATGCGTCTCTTATAGAAATCGGTTGTTTTTTATTTAAAGTTATTTAATGTTTGTTCAATGGAGCACCCTGTACATATGTGAAATGTTTATTAATCATTTTCTGCTGTTGTAAATAGACAACGCTACATACTCATGCGTAATTTATGTTTACTCAGTTGCTTCTTAAAGTTCTACATATCTTTCGTCTTCTTCGTTGCATGGAAGTTGGTAAACACTTCCACATGTGGACGATTGAGTTCTTTCACATAACTTTGAGAAAACTTTTTGAAATTTCATAACACTTGATTAAATTTCAAAAGGCTTGCTTAGGCTTAAAATATATATGTATGTAATATTGGAAAGTGAGTGCGCACTTTACGGAAAATATGAGTAAAAATGTTTGAATGTTGGTGTAAAAAATTGTATAAATTTAAAAGAAATTTGTTGGTTAAAAATAATAATTTCTTTGTTTTTATTGTTTTTAACCTACAAATTTTCTTTAAATTTATATAAATTACGCATGCAAGAGAGCGACTATAAAAGACTTTAAATAAAAAAATTAATTGTTTGGTTATAAAATTCTACATTTCAGCTATTCCTCAGTTGGTAGTTGGTTACAACTCTGCTGTGACTTTTCCAAAATTCAGTTTTCATAATTAAAATAACCTAAAAATTAAATTGTCTATTGATTGTGGAGCGGATTATGCGGCAACTAACCACATATAACTGCATAAATTAACGGACTTCCAAATGTCAACAACAGATTTTCTGCATTGATACCAACTTACACTACTACAACATACTCGCGCTACTTAACTAAATCCGTATCACACTGAGGATATCCCCTTACTCTTATCTCCTAAGCTTCCTCTAAGCTTGTTCAACTGGTCCGTGTGGCATTTATTTCCCTTTACTACCAAAAAGACGGTAGCTATATTTATGTTTTGTGGTGACTCTTCATTGCACACACACACACACACACACACACACACACATACATTGTTTAAGGGCATAAATAATTTATATATATTAAACATTTGCACATATTTATGTATGTATGTAAGAATGTGTAGTGTAACTTTTGTCTTGCTTCCAAAACTCGCCACCACTGACAGCATGATGCTTATTCAATTCAACGAACTTAATTTAGCATTTAGCATTGAGACGACGGGTGTAAGGTTAAGAGGAGATATGAGGAGATGTGTGAATATTGGGATTTGCGGACAAATGACTTTAATGCTAATATATGTATGTATATTCCCTTAGATGTTAGCTTCTGCTATATATATATATATATATACATACATATATGTATATAAATTTGTAAATCCGCATATCCATATTCATAGTCCACATTTGGTACTTCATGACTTGTAATTTATGCGCATTTGACTCCTTAAATTATGCCAGCATAATTAGAAGGACAAATAGTAATGAAGATAACGTTTGGAATGAGAGCATGAAGGAGAGAAAAGAGAATTTATACTGTACAGTGTGTTTGAAATAAATGTTTCCACTTCAATGTTAAATATTGAGCTAAAAATAGCTGTCTCGGTTATTATAAAAAAAATTGATTCTGAAAGAAAAATCAATTATATTTGTTTCTAAAATTAAAAAAAAAAACCGGCTGAGGAGTAAAAAATGTATAACTAAAGATGAAGTGAAGGAGAAAATTTTGGCCTCTTCTCACTGTTACCGGTAAAATAAATTTTGTTACTTTTTTTTTATTACCCGATATTGAATTTGATTTTCTGGCGAAATTATTAGATTGTTTGAAAAAAACTTTTCGCTTTTTTCGTCCTT